GGCACCAAATGCAGAGGAGTGGGGGGTAGTGATGACACACCAGAGCTGAGCACACCACATCACAATTTTAATTGTACATCCTAAATTAGTTGTCTGCTCCCAGATGTCTCCTGAGTGTGCCAGTAAGGAAGAACAAAGGTAGCTATCAAGCTCATGTTACATATTTAAAATGAGTAACATGTGACATTATGGTGCAGTGGTTTGAGTGTTGAACTATGATGCTAGAGATCAAGGTTTGAATCTTTGCTCAGCCATGGAAAGTCAATGGGTGGCCTTGGGCAAGTCACTCTCTCTCAGCCTCAGGGGAAGGCAATGGCAAACCTTATCTGAAGAAACTTTCCCCCCTCCCAAAAAATGACAGGTTTGCCTTAAGATCACCATAAGTCAAAAACAACTTGAAGGCACACAACAACAACTTGAGACATTATCCTTAGATGGACATCACTACCTTCTGGCCCTCAGTATCTGTCAGCTGAGATGACTACCTCCTCCTGCTTAATGGCAGGGCTGGCCCTGTCTTGTATGCTTGTATACACAATAAGGTGAACTTTTACTTGCTTTCATTGAGGTCCCTTCAATGCTTCCAGTTTTGGTATGAGTATCTACAAATATTAATCCTAACTGGAATGCAGTGATTCCCAGTTTTCTAGGAAAGAAATAGAGGAGCTCTGTTAGTTTCTGAGAGTAGCACCATGCCAATTCAATAGGACTTTGCCCCACATAAGCATACCTGGGATCAGGATACAAATCTCTGTGGAACTCAGGTACACAGTCCAATCCAAATTGAGGTAGGAATAAACCTATTGAAAACAACGGGGCTGCATACCTTCCAACTGTTCCAATTAATCTGGGACATGTGTGGCCAAACAACACCAGACTGTGGTCAAAATGGCAAAACCTATTAATGAAGAAGAAACACACAAGCTAAGAGAGGCTGTAGCAGTTTGCTTTTGCCTCAGCTTACTGGGAAGGGTAAAATTCCCTCCACCTCTCCTTTTCCACTGCATGGAGTACAAACTACTTCTGGGCTTTGAAGTCCATTTTCAGCAAATGAATTAATCTGAGCACAAAAGAGAAAGGTGGGAGGAGGAGAGAAAAACTAGGACATTTTAAAGCAGTTAGATGAGAGAAGATTAATCTGAGCTTGCCAAATTAGAACAGTTGGTGGGTATGGAAGATTTGTGAATTTTATACTTAAAACAGCCATGCCCAGCTGCCACTGAAAGTGGGCTGCAACAATGAAGGGGAGTACATAGCCAACCCTGCCCAGCCTTTCACCACATTGGGGGAAAACAAGTATAATACTGTACTTATAGCTACATTTCCCCCATTTCTTGCAAAATGAAAGTTTCAAACAGGAAATTTTCTCCAAGGAAAATGGCAGGGGGGATGAGGGTCAGGCCACTGTTTTTGCTGCCTAAAGTAATACCCCAAATTGTGTGTCCTACTAACACAAGTAAAAAAGTGCATAGTACCCAATCTATTATTTTGTTACAAGAGGCCTTGAACACCTCTCCACATCCATTTTGTTGTTGTTGTTGTGTGCCTTCAAGTAATTTCCAGCTTATGATGACCCTAAGGCACATCTATCATGGGTGTTTCTTGGCAAGTTTCTTCAGAGGG